GATCAGCTGTACGTTTATTGATGTTTGCTTTTACTACTTACAGAGGACATCTTCACTTGGTTTATTAATTATCAATATCACCAATATTTTTAACAACTCAATCGTTAATAAACACATGTCTCAACAAACGCCTTCTAATAATATTTTTCTTGAAAAGTGTCATATTAACTCAACTGTTAACAACGAAGAAAAGAGATAAATTTGTGTAATAATAATGCATTGTATCCAATGATATGACGCATATGGTTGTCACAATTGAAGTCTGATACGTTAAATAGAAACCATAATAGCTCAAATTAGTACACCGTTATTAAAAAACTGAGCAATACATTTTATTTATTAGTACTTTCTCTATGAAATATAGTTGTTGGCTTTTAAAATGTTGACCTTAAGATCAGCTATCAACTTTCGAAGATTTTGAACAGATTATAGGTGGCATGCACCATACTTTGGTGTCTTTGATTTTTCAAAAATAAGCTACAAGACACTTGAAAGTTTGACTTCAGGCCCCAAGCTGTTTGTGTGCATATGCTTACATCCCTTTTCTTTTGGGCTAAACAAATGTTGTCATTGTAGAAATGTGATCACTACTGATGGTTATGCTGTATCATTTATATTTAAGAAAACTGTCGTAATCCATGATGGAACTAGAAGAGAACCAAAGACGCCCAATGATTTTGCTGATATAGTTGACGATGTAGTGATTTGAGTAGTTGATCCTGGTATATCAACTATCTTTACTACAGTAGACTCTACAGAGGATGAGCTTATCTGAGCAACAAGTTTAGAAGAATATTATCATTTATATGGTTACAGCCTTGCAACAAGAAGACGAAAAGAACACCAAGAGTGTCATTTAGATGAATTTAAGTATATTAGTAAATTATCTACTTTAAAAACTGCAAGCTTGACCTCATTTTTACTAGCTGCCTTTACACATCTACAAAACTATCGAAGAATCCATAACTACTACTGTCAAAATAATTGATATGTTGCTCTCTTACATGATGTGTATTTTAATAACGCTATATATGGCATATATCTCAAAAGCTAAAGTTTAAAGCTTATATCAACAAGCAAAAAGGGACTCAAGAAATTGTTAAAAAATTCTTTGACAACAGCAGAAAGTATGACAGATCAAGCACAATTGGCGCTAAAGATCAAAACCCAGTCAAAAGCAAGCTTGTACCACTACCTTCTGCTGATCTCCCTTCATCCTCTCAGCAAAAGTGGATTATTGCGTTCGGAAATGGTTCTTTTTGTTAAGTATGAAAGGGAAACGAGCTTCGCCTACAAGATGTACTACCGGAGAAATCGAACGAAGATGTAAATGATCTAACGGGGGAAGCCGAATTTATATATGTTGACGAGCATTTAATAAGTGCAAAACCAGTTAATTGAATAATTTCTCCACTACTGAATCAAATTGAAGAGTACGCTCTGTCCTCAAGTGTAAATCTTGTGGCACGATGTGGGATTCGTGATGTGAATAGCATATTGAAGATGGATAGTATCTTTGTTTACAAATCAAAATATGACAATGAAAGCCCTCCAAAAGGCTAATTGTACCGTGAATTTAATGTGCTGTCCATAACAGCAATGCATTCTTTAACACCTCGGGTAAGTATAAATGGTAAAACTTTATTTTTTATCCAACAGTCTTCTAGTTAAGGATCTAATTAAACCTTAAATCTTCTCTTCCGATTTTATCAAGGCTCATGTACTTGAAACAAGCAACCAGAGAACAAAAGAGAAAGGATGCTGTATCAATTTAAAATGAAGAATACTTTTATCTCTCTCTCTCTCTCACTTTACTGATTTCAAAGAGAAAAAGAAAATAAGGAATGTCCTTTTCAATTGAACCCTGTTCATCCGCGGCAATATGCACAATGATAAATGTGTTGCCCTTTTAATTAAATTGACACACAAAGAAGGAGGTAATTAAACTTTCCAAGGTAAATGACCACTGTAAAGAGTATTATCAGAAGGACAATAATTGAAAAGGGGAGCAAGTATAGGGCAGGAGGAAGCATATGGATGTCTAATGATAATAATAAAAAAAAGGCTGTTAATTTTAAGTAAACAAAATGAATCACTTGCCTTCTTCTAAATGGGTTTCTATTCATTTTCTTCTGCTTCAAACTGCCATGGCAGCCATAGAGATCACTCTCAAAGGGATGATATGAGTTTTCATATTCACCCTTTTTGCGACTTTCGGGATCACCCTCAGGTGGATCAATACCAATATACTCAAACCTAATAACCATATTAATTGAAACACGAGTACTTTTCGTTCCCCCTTACTGTTTAGCAGGGTATCCAATAGCTAATCTATGTATCTTTTCAAATCGTTCTCTCTTGAACTCAAATCCGATCATGGTTACTTTTGTTGGATAATCCCCTGTCATTTCAGAAAAGCGACAGATGGAAAACAGCAAGTTTTCATGTGAGTCCTTAGCGAATTCTTCTGTGATCATCCTATCGCGCAAGTTCAAATTGTTTGGTTCGTCCTGTATCAGTATCTGAGCAATCTTCCAGTAAGAAAATGATTCGGATCTAGGCCCAGCACTAGCTCTTGTCTCTCCACTATATTGAAACAATAATAAAATTCAGGGGCAATTCGTTCCCTCTCTTCTCTATTTCTATTCTCTGATTCTCTTTTTTCTTTCTTTACCCAGAAAAGATCAGCACAGCATTATCGTCCTGCTTCAAGATATCGATGCCTCTTTTGATATGGTCCACAAATGTCTTTACTTGACCACCTTTTTGAAAGGGTTCTAGAATCCAGTTGGCATCTATGCCGAGTTGGTCAGGATCATGGGGGCCTATATAGATGGCATGACCTGCTACAATAACGGCATGTTGTTGTGAAGATAAGGGTAAAGGAGGTAAGAATTCTTGTGCGTTTATCAAATATCCGGGTGTTTGTTGTTTACGATGCTGTACGAGATTAAAGAATAAGCTAAGAGAAAGGATGATAAAGAGAATGATGGGTAGATGCCGTTTATTCACAAGTCGTTTCCATAGGTATGTATTTGTTGTCGGTTGTCCAGTTGTGAAGGAGGCGGTATCGATGTGAAGAGGCAGCAATGGCTTTCTTTTTGAATTAGTGTTGCCATTCGATGACATTGTATGCACAAGAAGGGAAAAAAGAAAAACAAATAATAAAACTTATTTAAAGGTCACGTGGACTATCAACAATCACCTTTCCCCCTCTTTTTTATAAACTGGGGCGCATTAGAAGCACAAGAGGGAAGGTTTTGGTAGTGTATCTTTATTGGATACACAGGGTTGATCACAACGGCAACATTGGTCCAATCATTATAGGAGATACAAATAATGTTGAAGATTCCATTGAATTTATTTCCCAAACAAAACAATTCTAAAATGTTGAAGATTTAAAATAAAAAGAAATTTCCTTTTTTTTTTTTATGATCAATTAAGATAAATTTAAAAATACAAAAATCAATTTAATGATAAAGACACGGTATGAAATGATATCATATTTTACAGCTAATTCTTTTATGTATTTTTATACGTAATACACTTGAATTTGTACACACTCGGATCTTCTTCTCCCTTGCTTTGTAAACTATATGAAAAAAAAAAACGCGTTTTTTCTTTATTATTTGTTGCCATTGATAATAAAGAAACGAAAAGAGACAAGCCTTGTTTCAAAGACAACAATCAAAAAGACCGAGAAAAGCAAACATCTATCATTCATTGCTTTTAATTTTTTCTTTCTTTCTTTCTTTTATTTGCATTATTTCCTTTTCATTCTTTCTTTTCCGATTTTCCTTGTTTGATTTACATTCTTTTAATGGATTTATGCTTTTTGTAATGAATACATGACCTTTAATTTCTTCAATTCTAGCCCAAATCCACAGCCATCACTCTACCATGTTTTCCCACCATGGATACACGATCCAAGCGGAGAATAAGGAGCATAAAATCATGACATTTCTTCCTAAAAGTACTCATGCCATCGATCAATAGTGTAACAGACGGCGTTTGAAGGGGATGGAAATTATACTAATCACGTGTATGACAAATATACAACATTTCAAAAAAAAATAGAATTTGCCCTTATTTTTTAGCGGTTGTTTAAAACGATTGGACCCTTTAAATTAACCTTTTTAACTCTTTTTCTTCTTTTTCTTTTCTTTATTTTATTTTTTTTTTTTTTGTAAAAAAATGACAGAATTTAAAGATGTCAAAAAACCCAGGAACTACAAGTACTGGTCAGATGATGAAGTCAAAAAGATACTCGAATGGTTTAATTTACCTGAAAATGAAGGTAAACTGGCACGTAATAAAGCGCAAGCGTGTAGAGAAGTTGCCAAAGAATTATTTGATGGGGATGAATATATGGCAATATCCGTTAGATCAAAATTGATGTCACTCGAGAAAAACTTTAGAGAAGTAGAACAATTGACTAAAAAGTTGAATGATCCAATATCAAATCAAGAGAAAGCATTAATTCAAGGTAAAAAAAAAAATGATATCATGATCCCTTTTTTTACTAAATATGTTTAGATAAAATTAATGAACTTTATAAATTTCATAAAGATTGTAAACAATTATTTGGAAAACCAGATTCAAGAATACCTTCTGTCCAAACATCACCTAGCGTCATCCCATCTCCTATTCATAATAACACATCACAGCATCCTCCTCCACCTTTGATCTATCATGCTTCAGATCAACCCAAGTTACCTCATTTGGATAAAGACCGTCTTCGAGAACTATCTCACCCGATATCACTGCCTTCATCGTCCTGGTAAAATAGAATGTAATCATTTCCATTCAATCTTTCGGAATACTAACTTCGGTCTTAACCTAGGCCACTTCCGCGACTCTCGATAGGTTCAATAGAGGACAATGAGACAAGGAAGCGAAGAACAAGTGACTGCAGTGAGTCGTCCGGTCACAGCCATTGTGACTCCAATGTTAAAATTGCTCGATATCAAGCCAGACAAGCATCCTATGCTGCAAAACAAGCACATTATGAAGCCGTGAAAGCAGAATGTGAGCGATCAAAGATGGAACATGCAATTCAATTGGCTAAATTAGAACTCGATAAGGAAGCATTAGCAGTAAAAAGAATAGAGCTTGAATTAGAACTATTAAAACAAAAAAGAGACCCCTAATTATTTTATTCTTATTCTTATTGTACTACCTTGAATCCCCATAATTCGGTAAAAGTACAAATAAAGAAATTCAATGATGATTGGACAAGCTTATTACTAACATTTACTTTTCTTACCCATTCGCTTCTTCCTTTGTTTACATCATTCTACGGCAACTCTCCGTGACTTGTTATTAAGCATACATGTATACACACATACCGACGTTGAATAAGGTGTTTAAGTGAGTATATACTCCTCCCCTTCACTCTCATTACTTGAGATGTCACGTGTGTACACATTAAAAGAAAAGAATAACATTTGTTCATGAAGGTGTACGCATATGCAGCAAAAAGTCCATGTCGGAAGCCAAATTTATGAACGTTGAGAGAAACGACTCGTTTTTTTTTCATTTTGCTTCTCTTTCAAATTATGGCACTCAAAAGAATTCAAAGAGTAAGAAAAACAAGGAAATATACATAGTTTACACGTTTTTATACTTTTATAAAAAAAGGAATTAGCAGAAATAACTAAAAGTGCACCAACAGATATCTCAGTTGATCCCATGGAGGGAAACATATTTCATTGGACTGGTAATATATACAACATGTTTTATTATGAACTAATGGAACTCATTATATTCTTTTATTTAGGCACTATAATAGGACCTGTAAGAAGAAGAAGAATAAAGGAGGAGAGAAACTAATGTCACATTCTATATAGAAAAATACCCCTTATCAAGGTGGTCATTTCAAACTGGATATTCTCTTTTCTTCAGACTATCCTTTTAAACCACCCAAGGTAACATAATATAAATATGAATACAGGATATTAAACTACTTGTTAGATCAAGTTTATTACGAAAATTTATCATCCAAACATTGATGACGATGGGTCTATTTGTATTGACCACCTTAAGCCTGATGTCTGGAAACCAGCTACCAAGTTAATCAATGGTAAAAGAATATAAATATGCTGAGGTATATATATATACTTAAAACTTGGTTTATCGATAGTATTGCAAGCGATTGCTACATTATTAGAAAACCCTAATCCAGACGACGCCCTTGTTGCTTCTATTGCTGAAACATACAACAAGAATCGCACCAAGTTTAACAAGATTGCAAAAGAATATGTTGACAAGGTAAAAGCAAAAAAAAAAAAGAGGGATTCTATAGCAAATAATAATGTTTATATATAGTATGCTACTCCATAATTTATACACCTTCTTTTTTTCTTTTTCTTTATATCATTTTTATGTACATAAATACTCTTTTTTGTGTATTCAAACCAAAGCAAAACTGGAGTAAATGTTTGCAGATGTTACAAAATCAATGCTGTTCAAACGCTTGTTGACTGGGATAGCATCAATATCGTCTACATAAATAAAGAATTGATGCTCCTTGTAATAATTATGAGCAACGTTATCCATAAACTCAAGTGAATTCTTTTCTTGCGTCTCTCCGGATGACCACACTCGGAGTATATCAAGCCTTCCTTCGCTCATAGCTAATGCCATCTTGACCACAGCTTCTCGGCCCCTAAAGAGATGTCACGTTAGCTTGCATTATATAATATCATAAAGAATACGAACGCTGTTGCATGTATTTCATTATTGATCACATTTTTCATTTGAACAAAGAAATTATGTGGCAAGACAAACTTCCATTTCCCATTTGCTATCGTGTCTGCATTCAACTAATAAACAAGTATAAATAAACCATGGTACATCAGATACACGGTATTACCCTGGCCACTTGCTCACTAATATCATCAATGATCTCAGGACGATGGATAATATTTTTTGCATCGGTCGTGATAAACCCGCCTGAATAATTAGGAAACACTTGTTCGGGTGGTAACATGTCTCCTGTGGACAGATCAGGTACACCAAACTCCCAAATTTGTGTTGATGGTTCCTTCTTGTGTCTTATCAAATTCTTTGTGAATACAGTCTTGTTGTATCTATCAAACTATAAAAATCTAAGTATTTCACTCTTTTCATACAAGAATAAAATTTACCATCATGACATGAGACTTGGAACCGGATTGTGTATTAGTTGCATTGAGCGCTTTGGCAAGCAATGTGGCAGCATGTGAGTTTCCGTAAATAAAGAACTTGGCTTCCGTTCTTAAGCGCTTCAACTATGTGAAATATTGTATCAAACAGAATGAATTAAAATGTCAGACTTACCTCGGGTGGGAAGCGCAAGTAGACAGCTGCCAATTCCCATTCGAGCATTGTATAGTCTCGACTCGTCAATGGACCTACTCCTGAAAGTCCTTCTATAACCTTTGGCTTTTCAGGAACACCTTCAATGTAGATGGCACATAGTTGGTGGTAATAGTTCATTAAACCATGGTCTGATGGTACATTGGTCAACTTGTGGAGATCAATTACGGGTAATAGCACGAGAATATCCTTGGTGTCGTTTGTATCGTATGCGAGACCAGCCTATCATTGTGTTATTTTTTGTTTATTTGTATATCCGTGCACTTACAATCTCGTTTACTTGCAAGAAGCTTCTTAACTTACCAAAGCTCACCAGTGATTTAGTCATCAGAATGTCTATCAACGTGATACAACGATTATGGATGATCTCATTCAAGGCTCGAAGCGGAAGGTAAGAAATAATATGAAGCTGATTAGGACCTTTTGCTTGTGCGTTGATGAGTTGTCTATAAAAATTGTTAGAATACGTCCAATACAACACATTGCACATTACATGATTTTATCTCGATGATAACATTTCTGCTTTCGCTTCAATGTGATGGGTGCAATTTCTTTATCTCCTTTAAACAAGACAACATCCATCTCGAGATCTTTGTGTTGTAGTAGTTCTCCATTCGCCTCTGGACTTTGCTTTGGATCTGATTGCTGTTGTTTTTTAATTCTTGGGTCTCTTCCTACTATTGTTTTCAACCGAGGATCTCTAGCTTCATTGATGATGCTAATCTTGGGCTGATCCTGTCTCTGGGGAGATAAGCGGGGCTGCAGCTGTTGTTGTGGGTACATGGGTGCAGGATGAGGTCTTGGATATTGTTTTGGAGGTGGTGGTGGAGGAGGAGGCACAGGTGTGAAAGAAGGAGATGATGTTGGTTGATGAAACTTTGGAGTTTGCTGATTAAGCTTGTGCTTGGGTTCTTGTTGAGCAAATTTATATTGAAGTGGTCTGGATGAGCTGAGAGCAAAGCCGGGTAACTGTGCACTAGGCTGTTGTTGAAAGATAGGCCTGGGTGGCATAGATTGTTGTTGTTGAAGGACGAGCTTGGGTGGAGTAGCCTGTTGTTGCTGGACAGGTTTGAGTGGCTGTGGAGTAAGCTGGACAGGCTTAGGAGGTTGTGGAGCAGGCACCTGAATAGGTTTGGGTGACATAGGTTGCTGTTGCTGGACAGGCTTGGGAGGTTGTGAAGTAACCTGCTGTTGAATGGATTTGGGTACCTCGGGATGTTTTCCTTGGGTAGGTTTAGGAGGCTGTGGAGCAGGCATTGATACTTGCTGAACAGCCTTGGGTGTCTCTGCTGGCACTTGTGTTTGGATCGATGTCTGTTGAGCAGGCAGCTTTGTTGTTTGAATAAGTGGTTTGGATGGTTGGCTGACCGTGCCAGATGTGGATGCTGAAGCCTCTGAAGTCTGTGATGGTACCAATATATTAGAATGCTGTTGTTGATCTTGCTGTTGGTCTGGCTTTGGTGAAACGGTTTGAACTTTCTTTGGAGGCTGTATAGGTGCTGGTGGCCACTGTGGTTTCTTTGTTGGGAATGTATGACTTAACAGTTCCTTGCTTTGTTCTACAAAAAGGATAAGTATTTGACCAGCACATACACTCTTCACCTACGCTTTGATTTATCCATGCTAAGGTTATTATTACTGCTCGAAGCAAGAGAAGAAGTCGTATTTTTATATAATGTGGATTTAAAGCGTTCAGTTGAGGCTTGTTGATTTGTTGTTAGTGTCCTGTTACTTTCTATATTCTTCAAAATTGCATCAATGTTCACTTCCGCCACTGTATAAAAGGTGAGTCCCTGCTTTTTACAATTGTTCTCCTCTGGTTACCTTTTGGCTGTGTATGACGTGCTCGTTTTACTTTAGTATAATGCATAATACCCGAGTCCTAAGATATATTAATATAAGCTAATATATCACTCATTCTACATTTACTTTGGAAGAATCAGCTTGAGCATTATCGCCTTGATCGCTTTTGGGAGCTTCACTGGAATCATCACTTGCTTTTCTTTTACCACTGATCGTTGCAGATTTATCTGTTGTAGGCTTGTCTGTTGTAGTAGAGGATTTGGACTGACTTTTAGATGAAGATATACTAGTTGATTTACGACGTTTCTCCTTTTTAACTTTTTGTGTCTTGGTCTTCTTTCTTGCCTCTCGATTCTTCTCCCTGGCATTGATCCTGCCTTGATTAAAAGCTGCTAAAATTTCTGGACAGTTCAAGTTGTCTTCAGGTTCCCAAGTATTGTGTCTAAAAGAATGATCAATACATTTTTCTCATCATTGTGTGTATATGCTCTAATTAAAAGCATGATTAATCTAAAAAGAACATAAGATCGCAACAACATACCACTCTTCACTGTAGCCTTTCCATTTGATGAGATACTCTGCTACTCCTGTAGAAAATTCTCGTTTGTCGAGAATGGCTTCTACTTCATAGTAATTAGTCTCATCGTCGGCTTCTTGACTCATTGCTTCAAATAATGAAAATGATAATAAAAAAGTTCAAGAATGGACCTTCTTTTTTTTTGTGTATCCGAAAAACAAAAAAAAAAAAGACAGCAGTGCTTTTATAAATCATTTGGTTTTGACACCAAAGATAATATTATCATGAATTGATATATATACACACATATAGCAAACAGAGATCACTCTCAGTATTAGAAAAAGAAACAGAATTTGGCCTCATTTTAAGCTAGTAAGATAAATTAGAATGAGCCTTTGTCTTTAGACATGAAATACTAGACAAAACAGGTTTTTGTAAAGAGAGAGGCTTTAATGTATATAAAAATGAACAATTACAATTCTGGCATGGTCATCAAGTCATGCTTAACAGTATCGACAACCTATAATAATATAATTATGATACATGTATATAACCATGGTAATGCATCTTACCTCGGGACCAACCAACTTTTCAGCAATTGTTAAAGCAAAGAGAAAAGCGGTACCTGGGGCACGGCTGGTAATAACATTGTCACTTACAACTACTCTGTCTTCAGAGTAAGTATATGCTATTGTTACACATTAGCAAAAGAGAGAACGACATCATCCATATTTACTTACCATCCACTAGTTTATCCTTGACAGAAGGGAATGAAGTAACAGTATGATGGGTAGGAATACCAGCCTCCTTGGCTACAAGAGTACCAGCACAAATAAAAGCGACAAGTTTAGAATGCTCATAGAATTCCATGATAAGTTTATGAACTCCCTTATGAGCACTCAACGTCTTGGCTGAACCAGCGCCTCCTGGTACAATGGCAACATCATAATCAGACTATAAAAATAGATTAAAAGTGAGCTAGTTAAACCAAAACTATGCTCTTACCGCCTTGAAGGCTGTCTCTTCGAATTTTACATCAGGGACAACCTTGATACCTCGTGCACAGGTAGCATAAGTTCCACTGAGTTCGACGCCAACAACGGTGACTTCCACCTTGGCGCGTCGTAAAACGTCAACTATGACAGTGTAAGGTTTATGCTTTATGCTTCATTTTCTTTCTTTTACCGCTGATAGAGAATTCCATGTCTTCAGCTCCTTCTGTTAAGAATACAATAGCCTTTTTATGTACCATGGCTTTTATTTATCTATTACA